GTCTGCAAATTTAGAAATTAATCCCTGAAGAAAAGGAATTTTATTGTTACAGAGAATAACCTTCTCATAGCCCAATTATAGAAAGAAATAACTAACTCTGCAATGCCACACTTCTAAGTACTTGGAATTAATAGCACGAAGATGCAAGAGAACTAGGCTAGCAATTACTCTTAAACCTGCAAAAAGGAATTTGGTTTATGAACACATATAAAAACACATAAGCATTCTGTAGAGTTAACATTGCATACCACATAATTTTAAAAGCACATAAACAGGTACTATAAAAAAGAAAAACAATTGAGATTTGCTGAAATACGCTTACTCATAAAATAACCCATCCACACATTGATTTATAATAATTCCAGCAAATAAAAAATTTATCCATTTATATTTTTAATCTCAGGAGTAGATTTACTATTATATATTTCTAGTTGGAATTACCCTAGGTCAGAGCTTATTTTTAAATTGATTCTTAATTAATTTGAACATGAAAAATTAACCTAGATTAAAACAAAACAAAACTTCAGGAAATACAGGAGGGAGAAGAACGCCCCTAAACTCGTGATTTGTAAGCCTACCGGTATAGTTTTGCAGAATGTGGGATAGTCTCCGATTTTCACATCTCTCATTGTCTTTTTAGAAATGCTTCCAAAGATGTGGGAAAGTACACACAGGAAAACACGTTGAAGAGCTCAACACGAGACATGCCGACCCGCCGACCCACCGACCCACCGGGGAAGCAGGCGGTGAGTGAATGGCTTTGTCAAACACCGTTAAGCGGGGGCATTTTATAACCCCAGGGCTTCGGTTTACAAACGGTCCTGCAACCATAAATCTCCTAACTTGAATTAAAAGTATGCAGCCGACAATGGGACTGAAGAAATACTTGTTCTACTAAGAAAAAGTAGTGTCACTGACCAGTGAAAATGCGGGACCACCGCGCCTTGCCATGGAAGCTCGCGAAACTTTTGCTTTCTCACGGCATTTCCAGGTGGAAGGTGCTTTGTAGTAAAAAGTACATTATTTGATGTGGATTTTTTGTGAAGAGTGAAAAGATTTCTTACTTAAAATGTTTATCAAGGGAAGATGATAGGTTTGTGGCAATTCTCCTGTGTATTAACAAATGGAGACCGGGGTTGCAGAAAAATATATCCTGGCTTATGACAGTGTCAGTTTAATGTCCAGGTCAGTGTTTCGGGTAATTATTAAAGTATACAGAACACAGTGACAAGAAAGTTTATCTTTGTGTTTTAAAATAACATTTAGAACAGCCTGTGGTAGGGGACGGGGCGTGGAGATGTGTGAGTAAGAAGCCGTGCAGAAGTGAGACTAATAGATTGTGTCTGGATCACATAAGAGTTCTGCCCTTTTCTTGTTGGATCGTAGTCATTCAGTCCCTCTTGGTCTTTTTCCTCTCTCTAGGTGACTTCTAATGTCCCGCCATCTCTACAATGCTGCAATTATGGTAACTTGTTAATGTTCATTTAACAGGCTTCACTCAAATGATTAACCAGAATACCAGAACAGAACAACCTAAAACATTTGATTTCCAGAGTTTAGCTGAACGTTAAGTCCTTTTTGGAACAGAGAGGCACATAAATAAGGTAAACTGACAATTGCAGGTATGCCAAAATCATAATTACATTTTGAATAAGAGGCAACAATTGCAAAAGATCAGTGCATTTTCTGCTGTTAGCTTCCAGAAATTGACAGATACTTTTGTGGTAGGCCTAGCAATTCATAGCAATAACTGTATAATTAACTCTCTCTCTCTCTCATCACAATCCAAACATAATTTAAGAGAGCTTAAGTAATACAGAATAGCATAAATAAAAAGTGGACATTTAGAATAAGAAAATAAAGATGAAGATATAAAATAAACAAGGAATGAGATTCTAATAAATCACCATAATAATCCAATATTACAGTTGCTTCTGGTGGAACCCAAATTTGGCATTAAGCCTTTCAGCATCCAATGTGAAAGAAGAATTCTACCTAATCAACTACATAATTCAGAGAACATATGATGGAAGTAAAGCTCAGCAAAAATGCAGTTGTTTGTGATTCTAAGAAGCAAGAGTTCCTGCTCAGGGGTCTTCACAAAGAATAATTATGCCAGCAGCAGGCCCCATAACTTTCCTTGAATAGATGCGGTGGTTGGGTACACAGGGCTGGTCCTTACTTCGGCGCCATCACATCATGGCTAAGTAGAGGGAGGCATCACAGCATGATGGTCAGAGGAAGACTTCCATTCCGTACTACCTGAGTTCAAATCCTGGCTCTGCCACTTACTAGCTATGTGGCCCTGGGCATGTCATTTCAGGCACTTCAGGGGCCTTAGTTTCCCTGAGGTGCCTGAAACGAAATGAAAATGTTATGTATCTGTGCTGACCAGTGCAATAGTCTCTAAATATTATCTGCTAAGCCTCTGATGAATATTAGGCAACAAGGAACTCTAAATTGATTGTACTGACATCTAGTTTAAGTGTGGCCAACTTTCTGCTGCCAGGTGAATGTAGACCCCTATACCATGGGCTGTAGAGCTGTGATGTTGAGAGTCCAAGGATGATGACTGAACAGGACGCCGGCCTGTCTGAGCTTCAAGGAGAGACAGTGAGGCGTCTATGACGGAGCCAAGATCCTCCCTAGGAAATTGTTTTGTATCTACATCAGAGCACAAAGAAATGGGCTTGGTCTCAAAGTTCTGCTTCATCCAGCACAGCTGGGATTGTTTCAGGGTAGTTTAACCAGATACTGGTCTCTTTTTCCCCCGGTTAACTTTTCAAAAATGCTATTTCCTGGTGGTACCCTCCAACATAAATTATTTGGAAAAGGTACAAGATGACTAAATAAGAGAAGTTGTCCCAGGTAAAAGTAACAATTGCTGAAATCAATAAAATGATTTCATATAAATATGAGTCCCAGGTAAAAGTAACAATTGCTGAAATCAATAAAATGATTTCATATAAATCATGCAATAGAAAGGCAAAATAAAGGGAAAGCAACTGATAATAAAATGTGTATTTCAATCTCTTAATGCTCAGGCATAGCCACTCTAGAAACAATGAAGTCATCAGTGGCTATACATAGAATCATGCTATTAATCACACTCAATTATCATCAGTAGCACTGCTGTCAGTAACAAGATTTCTTTAAAACAGGTACAATTTCTGATCAAGTTTTAAACATAATAAAGTGGAATCTTCCCTCAATTACCTAGTGGTTATTTTTGGAAAATTCAGTGTACATTAAAACTGTATAAAAATACTTTGTTTTAAAATGTAAAGATTAGGTTTTAAGCTTAGATAACTGAATTTTTTTTTTTTTAAACCCATGTGAATGCTTACCAGAACATTCAAGAATCATGCAGGATGTGGAACAAATCTTTGTTGTGCTAAACTGTCCATGTGCTATGGAACGTAAGTCTTTGGCTCCTGTCCACTCCTTGCCAGGAGTGTCTTTGATTATTTCTAAAACCACTGGTCTGAGCCAATCATATTAAATCTATCAACCCCACTCCACCAATGACTGGTTCATTAACCCAAGCCTAATCAACCAGCGCATGGCATTGGTTGGTTTGAGAATATGTCTGCCAAGGAAACACAGAAGTTTGCTGGGGGCTTCGAAGGAGTCCCTGAGAGAACCACAGGAAAAATGTTCTCTTTCTTCTTCTTTCCATGATTACAAATGGATGTGAGGCCTGAAAATTCTAGACTCATTTCAAATCCAGCTGAAGGATGAAGCCAACAAACAGGAGGGCAAAGCCAAAAACACCGGGAAACTGAGCTAAATTTGCATTATGTCTCTCTTGGGGTTTACTCTACCTCTGGATTTCCATTTACATAAATCAATAAACTTCCTATGGTTTAAGCCATCTTGAATTTGGATTTTGGTTTCTTGTAGCTGAAAGTACTTTGCTACATATATAATTTCATAAGTCAAAGAAGAAGGCCTGATTAAACGACAAGTGAATATTGCTTCTGGACTTCTAAGGGATAAAATAAAGGAGCTATGCAGGTCTTTAAGGCCTCGTGCTCTTATGTGAAAGAGCTACACAGTATGAGATTATGTATTTCTTCAATCAGGTGGCTGGCATATTGTGGAAGAATGTCTAGCACAGTTCACACACGCAGCATGTTGGAGGAAACTTGTGAAAGGTAAAAAGCTATTTAATCTGAAAAGAAAAAATGTAGCTACAGGTAGAAAAGTAAAGCTATTACATACAAAGAGCTCTACAGGATGGACTGTAGACAAGGTAGTAAAAACTGACTAAGTCTCTGCTTCATGATGCTTATAATTAAAGAATCAAATGAAAAACAAAATACATGCTTACAGAGTATGGTAAGTGAGGAAATGAGATAAAGACAGAAATGGGCAGTCACATATGGCTAACTATGGAAGATTTTCTGAATATGTGAGGGTTTTGAGCTTAAATTTTAAAAGTTAGTAACACTGGGAGGATGTGGGGAAATGGTACGTTACAGAAGCAGGAGAAGATAAGTATTATGGGACAGGAGTGGAAAATTTAGTAACATGCTGCTGAGACAGCATCAGGCGAGGTTCTAGATGGCACTGCTGCCAGGTTCATGACAGCAGGGGATAAGAAAAAGCAAGCTTATAACTGAGGACAGAGCCTCCATCAGGAACGCCTGTTCCACTATGTCCTAGCTATGACCTTGAATGAGCTACTTAACCCTCCAGTTAGAGCCCTCATGTTATAAAAGGGGGAGATGTAGTGAGGCGGGGAGGAACACAAGGAAGAAATAAACTAAGGCATGTAAAGTGACCTGTATAATTGGAAGATGCTTAATCAAGGTAGTTATTATCACTTTTAAATTCACAAGCAATTCACCCAAATTAGTTTCAGAGCATTTATAAGGCTAATTTATATAAACTTGGTATACCTATTACATCAGGTTTAGAAAAAAACTCTTTTAAAACAGCCAACTGCAACCCATTTTTAAAAAACCTTAAATTAAAAGAAAAACAATGAAAATGGATTGTGATTAAGAGATTATAAATACATTTATTGGCAGTGTTACTGAATTTTGAATGCAAAGAATAGGATACAAAGAAATCAGCACTTAAAAGGAAACATCGCTCTTAGAAATGCAACATATTTACATATGTTTAACTAATTTTGCCTATCTGTTTAGATTTACAAGCAAATGTAAAACGAATCCCACAACTTTCATACTGAATATACTTCGATTTCTAGTGTTCTAGTGTCCTCTGTTCTAAATTAGAGTTCGCTGTTTTTTCCCATATTTACACCAAGTGTTATTTATTTTGTTTGTATCTAACCTAAAAGCAAGACTCTGAGCTGATAATGAAGCAGCGAGGTAAATCAGGAATTTTAAAACAGCTCCTTAGGAAAGGATAAAGCCACATGAAAGAAAATACCTCAATTCTAGATATGTAAATACAAAAGAGAAAATAATGAGATGCAAAACGAACTGCAGAAATACAGATTCTATTCTAAACTATAATTTCTAATCCTAGCAACAATTCAATTAGCAGGAGCTTGGATGCCTTTGTTTTCAAAAGTAAAGCCATTAGTTCCTTCACTACAGTTTTCTGACTATACCCAATGAGTAATTATCAAGTCTTCAGATTCCTTTTTAATAACCCAAGAATATGGTTTATACATAACAGAATCATTAACAAAAGAGGCCTTCAAACATACTGCTGAAAACTGCAATGTAGTTTGGGGGCCAGATTTCAATTTACATAATATTACCATTTAAAAGCGTTATGACGCCCAGCACAATCGTGTTCAGTGCTATTAACTCAGAAACACTCCATCTGTTCTTGCCATCAGAGAACTGCGGTTGTGGATGGGATTGTTATGACAAGTCTACAGGGCCTCTGAACAGGACTGCAAACAAAATGAAATAATTATGAACTATGATACAATTGTGACACCATGGCAAGCTTATAGAACTGAATTTTTCACTATAATAATAGCACTACCAAATTACAGTGACAGTTAAATATCATAATTATTTTTTCCCTGCTAACTATTGAACAGAAAAAGTGTTTTCTGATTATATTTCTGATGAACAAAGTTATCTTTGAAATAAATACTAGGGGAAATTGAAAAATGAACAAAATGAAGTCATGTTCATTTTTTACAGAGATTAACAAAAAGCGGTTTACAAAAACAAAACAAAACCAAAATAGTCCTAAAAACAAATATAAGATCAAATCAATTATTTTTGAAGAAAATATAGCTTACTTTCGAAAGTTCTATTTGGTTTGTGACTAGACTTGAAAGTATTAAAATAAATCAAATGGATTCCAACAATACTGATTTACTATGTGGGATTTGAAAAAAGCACTTCAAGTTTTAAGCTGAATATTTCACTCTCTCCCCTACTCCCAGAGAATGTGAATAAAAGGAGAAAAGGGGCTCTTGCAAAAATAAACAAAAACAAAACAAAACCACCAACCAAAACTAATCAAAACCTTTTCCTTTTTGAACACTTCGCTTTAGTTGGTCCTATATTAGGGTAGGTTTCTATAGCAAGGACTTCCTAGTCTCTTCCTTCACCTTTCATTCTTCAGCCATTTCCATGTTTTCATCAAACCTGTGTAGACTTTCCTAAGAAGTCAGGTTGAGTCAGAGGTAGCTTTAGGATGCAGTATACTTGAATACAGTATATAGTTAGTTCAAATAAACATGTTGTTCTAAAAGGATTTCAATACATAAAAATGCAAAAAAAAAAAAAAAAAAAAGTACAGCTCTCACTGCTTTGCACTAAGAAAACAATTTTGAGAAACTGAGAAATATTAGAAGCCAGGAAACAGACTTCTGCCTCATCTTCCAGGGGCTCCTTTAATGCACCAGTTCAGGCTGGTTTTCTACGAAGGGTAGCACCCCACTCACATAGTAGGCAATGCCAAGAGACAGCAAAGCAATGACAAAGATCAAGAGCAAAACCCTCCAGAAGCCCAGATCCTCTACGAACTCCTGCCATGTGGTTCGGAAGCTGGACAGGACTCCTTCGCCCTGCTGTAGGTTGGGATTGAGGAGAGAATGGCTTTCCATGGCACTGTGGAAGAAGCAAAGAGAAAATAAAACAGCATGAAATAACACATTCCATTCACTCCGAAAACATAAAACAATAAGGAACTGTATTACTTGGAAAAGACCAACCTTATAATACAACACTCACAAGAAGAAAACTGACATATATACATATACTCTCACACACTTATGTACTGATTTATGTACATCTGCACTTAATCTGGACAATCTACCCTAAACTGTAAACTGCTAAACCGTAGTGATTATGTTTCTTGGTTTTGTATTTAGCAGAGTCAAAGTTAAAAATCCTTTTCTAATAAAAAGTTCCCATGCAGAAGTCTTGAAGTAGATCAAATGAGTTGTTTCCATCAGGTGATAAACCAAAACACATTTGGTTATTTTAAATTGAGAATTTAAAATGAAAATTCATAATTTGAGAATTCATGTTAATGAAGATAAGCAAAGACGGGCAAATCTAAAAAACTGTTTAATAAAGTACGTGACTCTTAAAAGGGGATTATTATTAATTTAGTTTAATAATCGGACCAATGAAGGAATTCCTCCTTTTAACTGTAATTCTCTAATAATGGATGCGTACTCCCCAGTCTGTTGGACATTTGAACACATTTACTCATTAGGAATTCTTCTTAATAGTTTCCCCCCATTGGTCTTAGTTCTATCTTGTATTATAATACAGAATAAGTACCTCTTCTGCATAAAGGCTGAATCTAGTTGAAATAAGGTAGTATAAACACCATAAAAACACTGATTCTGATTTTAGAGCTATAGCGACATGAAATATGACTGCTATGAATAGAAAACAGTATATCTGACTTTGGTATCTGGAAGCCCATAATGTGAATTCAAAGCTCTAAGGGATTAGCACCCACACTTAAGTCACAACATGCAGGCCCAATAACAGAGTACCATTTAAATTAAAGACACAATGACCATAATCATATGTATCAACTACCTATTGCTTATAAAAGGTTGTTACTACCCTACCTAAACCCCTTCTCTTCATATTCTTCCAACTATCTGGGTACAGAACAATGAAAACGACATAAAACAATGTCTTGGAGTTTGGTTCACTATGCAAAATTGGCAGTTTTTTTTTTTTTAACCTACAACTTTTACTTCTTGACACTGTTAACCATAGGTTCTTCGGCCTTTATTAGTATTAGAGGTCTTCTCTTATCATGGGATGCTGACTTCCTAATGCACCAGTCTGTTGGACATCCAAAACATTTTTCATATTAAAAGATGTTTATTCTCTGAATAAGAGAAGATATTTACAGCAGAAATCTACAATACAAAAATTTAAGAAAATTCAAGCAAGTTCAAAAAATAAGAGTAGAACACTGAGAAGGCCTAAATCCATAAAACTGTAAACAAAATCAGGAGAGGTTAATTCTGACTTGCATGAAATTTACTGACTATATGTGAGTTGACATGATCTTACTCAAAGATGTTAGATGTAAAATGTGAATTCTCAGTTTAGCATTCTCCAGGAACTCATGAAGCTCTGCCAGTCAGAATGTTCTAGCGACTCTATTCAACAAAATGTTTTCTATTGTCCAGGAAATACCCAATTCTAGCATGATGGTGTGTGTGTATGTGTGTAATTTTTTTGTACATGTGTCATCCACATTGTCTTTGTCATCCTGTATCTACGAAGTAAAAAGGAATTAAATTAAACTTAGGCTATTTGGTGGAGTGGGGAAATCTTTTCCACCAATTTGATTTATAGGCCCTTAAGAAATTATGCTATGTCTCAGGGAAACCGAAGGGAAATGGAAAATATTGTAGTAAACACATTCAAATTCTTTCTTTGCCTTCTGCTCTAGAAAAAGCTGTTTCACAGCCATAATGCCATGTGCTAGCCAATCCGTTTGAGCTTTTTTTCTCAAAACTTTTTTGAGATATAATTCTGATACCATAAATTTACCTTTTCAATGTGCACAATTCAGTGGTTTTTAGTATATTCACAAAGTGACTCTATTTCCACAACATTTTTATCACTTCTATAAGAAACTCTGTGCCCACAGCAGTCACTTCCCATTGCCCCTTACCCCACCTCCTGGCAAGCCCTAATCTACTTTTTATTTGCCAATTCTGGACATTTCACATAAATGGAATCATATAATATATGGCCTTTTGTGACTGACTTCTCTCATGTAGCATGTTTTCAAAGTTTATCCATGTTGTAGCATGTACCAGGATTTCATTCCTTTTTACAGTGGAATAATATTCCACTGGATGGCTAGATAACGTTTTGTTATTCATTTATCAGTTGATGGACTTTTGGGTGTTTGCCACCTTTTGGCTATTATGAATAACGCTGCTATGAACATTTGTGTACAAGGTTTTGTGTGAACATATTTTCAATTTTCTTCGGTATACACCTAGAAGTGGAACTGCCGGGTCATATGGTAATACTGTGTAACTGTTTGATGAACTGCCAGATTGCTTTTCAAAGCAATTATACTATTTTACATTCCTACCAGCAATGTATCAGGGTTCCAATTTCTCCACATCCTTGCCAACACTTGTTATTGTCCATCTTTTTGAGTATAGCTATGTTCCTGGGTGTGAGTGTATTTCACTGTGGTTTTGATTTGCATTTCTCTAATGACTAATGATGTTACCTTTAAGCTCTTTAATTTGAGCTTCAACCACTACGTTTCTATCATGACGCTGAGGGGCAAGAGTAAGATGAGACAACCAAGATATGACAGCCTGATAGTGCTAAATTAATAATTCAATTTGTGAAGAACTGGCTGTATACAGTTGCTGTAAATAATACAAATTTTCATGAAGTGAAATGGCAGGTATGTGAAAGAAAGAAGAGTAAATATTTCATACTGAGCTGCTCAAAAGACTAATTACTTAAGTAATCACAACTGAGGCAAAATAGAGTTAAGAATTAATTTCTGATAAAGAGATGTCAAGACATGAACTATTAAAATATATCAAGCAAAAATAAAAACATATTCTTGAATAATTATCATGGTAAAGAAGCTTAAGGTAATTTACTACTATTTTATAGAAAGATGAGAATAAGTTTCAAGTTATTTTGGAAGAACGTGATCATAATAAATATTACCTAATGCTATTATTTTGTTATTAAATTGCTTATGGTATTCTAAGAGCCCACCCAAAGTACACAGGGAAGAGAAAAAGGGCTTGCAAATGCATCTTCAACTTCCTGCTTATTTTACCTATTTGTCAGCTTTCAGTGATAACTCATGAGAAGCATGCCCTCTTCTAGAAGTAAAACCCTTTATGTTCTTTGGACAGCAATAAATATTTGAAAGTATGTAAACAAACAGCCCTAAGCTTGAGTGGAATTAATGGTCCTCGGGGAGTACCCCAGTCAGCACATGAAGAGGAAGGAAAGCGATCATGAGTACAAAGGTATCGAAGGGTGAACTACAAAAAATGGAGAGGATTTCATTTAGAACTAAAAGAAACAATGACTCCAACAGTCTACTAGGTACATAGGATCCTAAATCCAAGTGCTGGTTCATCAGTTACTGGGTCAACAACTGATAACGGCTCCGGAAATACATTCCACTAAAAACTGTAGGTGGAGTCTATAGTAAACTCCTGGTCCTCCTGACCTGGTATAATCTGGAAGGTTGGAACTCCTTGCCAGACAACCAAATACATGCTAGTACAACAAAGTCTGGCCTATTGACTTTATTTGTTGAGCTAGTGAGGCTAGGAGAAAAAATAGTTTGTCATCTTTTCAGAGCTCCCTGAACTGTGTTCTGACTGCGTCTAGATGAGAAATGATATATTTAAGACCCTGTCAGTCACTGCATCTTAGTTTCAATTACTTAGAGGAGCCCAAATTTCATTTGTTGCAACTCATGTGAAGGTCACTTCCGCTTTCACATTACTGAATTATGTATGTGTTAAACCTTGTCTTACCTTCTCTCCTTTTGTTTTACCTTTTCTCAGCAGTCTACTTTCCTACCTCTGAAACTACCTTTTTGGTTTTTTTTAATATTATCTAAGTTCTTAGCCTTACTTATCTTTCCCCTCCTTTTTTGAAATTCCATGCTTTTAGTGACTGATAGTAAAATTCTCCGTTTCCTTCCCTCAAATTCGGCTCTTACCCACCTCTTCCCCCTGTACTGCCAGTACAGCAGGCTGGCTTCCTTGCACAGCGACTAATAGAACATTGCGTGCAAGTGGGCACGTAGTGCTTTCTGTTAATAGCTTCTCGACTGTAATCTGGAGCCACGGGGCCTATGTAAAGTTCAAAGAAAGTATCAAAGCTCTGCACTTGAAAGCAAATAAATATAAAGTTCATGAAGCTGTCATAAAAGATCCAGAGACTTAAAGTGACTTGCCCATTAAAAAAATATCTCTTAAGTACCTTTCACTCTCAGCTGTCTGCATGGTCTCCAGTTTTGAGTGGGTTCCTCTGTTAAATCCTTTTACCTCCTGTTCTTCCAAAGATTCCAGCAGTCGGATGACATCTTTATTCACTCCCCTGCGCTTTGCCAGAACTAAGGGTGTAGCACCTTGATGGTTGCTAAAAAAAGGCATAAAAATAAAGAGGTATCACAGCAGTTGTATTGCACTGTCAGTACCTTTTGTGTAGACGGTGAAGAAGGCATGGGCCCAATTAACTCAAAATTAAAACCCAGAGCAGAACCAATAGTAGAGCCGGAACCTGACTTTTGAGTTAACCTTTTTTTCTTCTAGGGGAAAAGGAAAAAGAATATGTAGGTGAAAGAGTGGATAAATGAGAATGAATAAAAGAAAAAGAAGGCATCTTCCCAGAAATTAACTGGAAAATCTAGTTCTAGATTTGTTCTTATTTGATGTTTACATTTTATTGGAAGAGTACTTGTACTAAAAAAAAAAAAAAAAAGTCTAAGAATTAAAAAAAAATCCCAAAGGCAACCAAATAAGCTGCTTTGGTACACTTAGCTAATAATAGGGGAGAACTTGAATTACACTGAATCCTGTAGTCAAGTTCCACCACATACTGTCCTTATAGTAGCAGAACCACTTTCTGTCTTATTCAGATTTAGCGACATTACAGCACCAATAAATTAGGGAAACATATAAGTGTAGTTTAAAGAGCATGCTCAGTTTTAAAGGCGGCCTGACATCTTTGCCACTCAAAAGAGCGGGCATCTCTAAAACAAAGAAAACCACTTCTTCAAATTGTTCAGTATAAAAAGGACTCTGAGCCCCAGAGAGATTATGAAGCTAGCAGGAATAGTATATAGTCAAAGGCAAATAAGCTATGTGACCTTTGTTAAGTCATTTAACCCTTCTCATCTCAACTACTTCATCTGTAAAATGAAGATAACACCTACCACAAGAGCTACTCATTCTGAGGATCAAATGAGCTAACTTAAGTAAACCCAACCCATAACAGCTTTACAACAAAGGATATTTTTCTTCTTTTTCCCTCGTCTTCCAATACGCAATTAACTAGCAGAACCTAGCCACTATTTTCACAGAACTTACACTGTTTCAGCATAAATCTAGAAGTCAGATCCTTGTTCCCTTACTCCCTCAACAAGACTCCACTGTTTTCAATGCCTTTCTGAATGTGTCACTACAATGGATGAATGAGGGAACAAAATCAATAGACTCCAAGATTAGACCACTGGTTGAGAGACTAATGGGAAGAAATGACTAGACTTCAAAAACCACAGAGAACTTACCAAATATCAATTTTGAGTCCATTGGAAACTAAGAATTGAATAGTATCCACATGACCACAGAGATGAAGAGCTGTGTTCCCTTGATAATCTGTGGCCAAAAGATCAGCACCAAATTTATGCAACAACTGGCAGATGTCTACATTCCCCCGGGCTGCTGCAAGGTGAAGGCCTGTTCTGCCTCTGCTGTCACGAATATTTGGGTCAAAGCCACTTTCCAAAAGCCGCTTGGAATAGTTAAAGTCTCCATCAATACAGGCTTGTAGCAAGGGCACATTAGTCTGAGAAGAATCATTTACAAAAACGTAGGACATTGTTCTGATGTGGTGGATAGAATATGCCTGTAATGAAATACGAGGTGAGTGAGAGTCAGTGAAGCCAAACTAAATCAAGACAATGAAGTCATTTAGAAAAGCACTTTTTCTTATCCTTCTTGGCCTCCTGCCTCTAATAAATTACCTCACCAAACAGAAACAAGAACAAAGTTATCAATTATATTTTATTTTCCATTAAAATGTCTTATTTTCTTCATATCTGCTGGATCAAAATTGCAACTAAATTACTATAAAGTTCTATTTTCCTTTTCATCATGTAAAAAGATTAAGAGATATTTTTAAAGTTAAGCAAGATATAATTGCTTAGATTTAAGTTTATTGTATTGTCAGAAGACATACACACAATCCTTAGACTTCAAAGAACCGTCTATACACACGTATACATGCAAATGCTACTGCTGTTAATTAAAATAAAGTAATTCTCTTTCATACAGATGCTTCTTAGTGTATTTGAGATATTCTAAATACACTAAGAACCGTCTGCTCAAAAGTTAACTAAATCAGCATGAAAAAAACACAAATAACTTAACATTCAATAAGGATGTGCTAAATGTCATATTTATAGCGCAACCTTCAAATTTTAATAGAAAGGGAAAAACAGAAAAGTAACAAACTGATGTTAAAAACTGGAAATATCATTAAATCAATTCAGACTGTCTGTCTTTTTTACAGTATTGACCCTATTCTGCTCTGTTCTACAGCTACTTAAATATCTGACTTTACCAAACTCCCATTGGCTAAGACTGAGAGATGAGAAAAACCAAGTGTGTCTGGGAACACAGAGCTGGGACAAAGGCAGCGATCTCGACTGTGTCCATTCTAATGCTTCACCCACTTGAGCAGTGTAGCCTCACCAGTCAGTCTGTCCACAACTCTTTCACTGATACTTCCCTGCTCCAGTGGTCTCTCAGTGCAGCTCTCTCTGCCTGTCTCTCTCCTCCTTGGTTCATTTAAGAAAAAGTGAGAGCCTGACAAAAGAACCTTTACTAAGAAATTGAAGAGAAAACAAAGCAAAACAAGGAAACAAAAGCAGTGGCTGATATGTTTATAGAGATGGCTCCCTTACTCTGAGGTTACAAAAGCTTAGTCACAGACAGGCTTGGCTTATAACTTATCGGCCAAAGTCTTTCTTTCTGGAACGCCGATGGAACTGGATGCTAGACCCATCTACTCCTATGCGTAACCTGAGGGGGCGTCTGAAAAGCGTGGCTGTGGAGTTTGGTGAGATTCTTGGCACCTGCTCCTTTCAGCCCGGTTTCCCAGCAGTCCCTCTGATCCCGGGCTTCCTGGTCCCATGGGTTCTCCGTGCAGAGGGGAAACAGTCACACGTGCTAGGGCCTGTGCTGAGCCAGGCATCACACTAGGGGTTCATAATCGATTTTACTTAACCTTCCTAACAACTCCATGGGATGGTTTATTACACCTGAATTTTAGTAAGAAGTCAGCGAAGGACATTAAGCCAAGAAAATGGCATGGTCTTATATTAGTCTTTCAGAAAGATTACTCTGCTGGCAGTACGGAGAGGTCAGATTGGAGGGGGTCAAGGTTGGAGATAGGGAGGTTGATTGGTAGGTCACTGCAGAATTCCAGACAAGAAATGATGAGAGCCTTATCTAAGGCAGTGACAGGGAGAAAGGGCATATTGGAGAAGGATATAAAAGACAGAATTAGCATAACTTAATGACCTGTTGGATATAAAGGGTATAAAGGAGCTGTTAAGGATAATTCTAAATAAGGGAAAAATCTGCTTATGATTAGGAATTACGGAGATCAAGATAAAATAAACTTCAGATTATGATACTACATAATGCTTTTTAAAGAAATTAACCCAATGAGAAAAAAAAAAAATTACTCAATAAAATAATCAAGAATTCTCTTTTGAGAGTAATCTGCCTATTTTCCCCTAAAGTACTCATTAGATTGGGTCATTAAAAAAGACTAAGCTATCATAAACTGTTTAAAAAATAAACCACCAGGTCTCAAGTGCTTTTCAAGATGTAATGTGCTTTGGTTAAACTCTGTATGAATAGATAATGAAAAACAATCTACTTGGTGTTTTTGGTTCAAACACAGTAAGAATTCTTGTGGTTTGCAGACTGGGATTCTTTTGAATGTTGGCTAAGTAAAAAAAGCCTTTCTTGTCTATTTTTTAAGAAAGAATAAGTGTGGTGTATTGTGTGAGTTTCTTTGCGTCCTTGAGAAACTGCTAACCTTACCCCTAAATTTAATAAGCTCAATGACAGATAACATTTTTCATCTTGATCACAGAACTGAACCCGCCCTAAACCAAGGACACAGTAGAAAATACTCACGTAGGCCTTAAGATTAGATCTTTCTTTCAGTGGTCACCTGGCAGTTTCTCTGAATTCTGAAGAAGGTTCAACAGGATATCCAGAAACGTGCTGGCAAGGATCTACGGCAAATCGAAAATTCAGTTATAATGAAGGTGTGGTGTAGAAAAGGACTCACTGTTCTAATAAATACAGACAAGCTAGTGGGGCCTGTACGTATTCTCCAGAAAATCTACGGGTATGGCATCAACTTATGAGGCTAGTACAGTAAGTGACGAGTAATAAGGTAGTGAAAAGAAAGAAGGGCTTAATAAAGAGCGGCTCTGTTGCCTGCGAACAAGACAGCATAGTCAGAAAGATAGAAGAAGAATCAAATTATGTGCCAGCAGTGGAGAAAAAAATTGGGCTCCAAAAATTCACTCTAAGTCACTGAAATTCAGAATGCATATTTTTCACATCAATGGTGGTTAGATCTCAGGTTAGCCCACAAAAGCATTTTTAAAAATATGAGGTATAAAAAAGTAGAAACAACCAATACTTATATTTTAACCAAACAGAATACATTTAAGGAAAAATATTTCTTATTTATCTTGAATGCTGGTACTTAAATCCCAAGATTGTCCTTCCTCTTTTATTTTCAGTGTGAAAGAAAAACTGGCTCAAATCTATCTGCAGTCTTTTCCATGTGCCTGTGCTGAACCCTGGTGCCATTCCACCTTCACGCTTTCCTGGGTCTCAGTCAGGTGTCTCTGTGCACTGAGAGACATTTCAGTGGTACCCTGTCTGTCCCACTGCACTCTTCTCTTGAAGGATCCCTAAAAAGGAAGTCATGAACAGGCAGTATGGACAACAAAAAACCAGTACTAATTTGCCAAACAAACATTTACTGTGTGCCTGAAATGTGCCAGTGGTGGGGTATAAAGTTTAAATCTCAAATTTACAGCTCCGGCTAGAATCCAGGCTAACCTTTCAGTCATTCACGTTCACTGTTATCAAATCCCTTTAAATAAACTTACATAGGGGAATAATTAATGGTACTTTATGAAGTTCCATTTACAATAGGTAAGGCAGGTTGTATCATAAGGGCTACCGGTGCTGGGTTAGAAGTGAAGACCAGGGCTGACGAACTATACATGAGGACCAGTCTCACAATAGTGTCAACAAATAGCATGATGGCTGAGAATACACAAAACATCTACCCTCAACTGTTTCTAGTTTGTTTTTTTTCTATAATACCAATTAGACAAACTTCATTACACAGAGTCACTTAATCGACTTCTTTGAACAAATACTGATTCACCTAAAGCCAAGTATTTTCCTTTCTTGTCCTGACCCCTGGAGCTGAGTTTTCATGTCTAAAGCCTTTCTCTAATACATAATCTGGCTTTAATTTTCAATGTTAAAATGGAGTAGAGGGGTTATTCTGAAGACAGGAGGGTTCATATTATGAAAAGGACAAGTTTTCTCGTTTGGAGATAGAACTATAGATTATATAATTACACCCCCCCCCATAAGCCTAATGTTCCCTTAAATTCACAAGAAAGACAATATTTCCATCATTTTCTTTTGATATGAGGCCCTGTAAGAAAATAAACTTGATCAAATAACAGATTTACATGATTTCAAACAATATTATACAAATGTATTAGACGTAATTCCTAGAAACCCGCAAAGAAAATGTCTGAGACCCCAATTAAATCTTAATCACTACAAACTAGTCATAGCTTCCTCAAGAAGTTATAGAAGTGAATAAAATTCAGGACACATATTAACTATTGTCCAAAGGGTGAAGAGGACTGGAAATTTTTAAAATTAAGCTTTTTGAGATGATTATAGATTCACATGCAGTTATAAGAAATAATATAGGGATCCTGTGTACCTTTTACCCAGCCAGTTTCCTCCAATAGTAGCATCTTGTAATACTATGGAGTAAAATATCTCAACCAGGACATTGACATTGATAGTCAGGATATAGAACATTTCCATCACGAAGATCTCTAATTATTACCCTTTTTTAGGCACATGTATTTCCCTCTCACCCCACCCCTCCTTATCCCCCAGAAACCACTACTGTCTTCCATTTTTATAATATTGTCATTTCAAGAATGTTGTATAAATGGAACGATACAGTATGTAATCTGTTCGGATTGCTTTTTTTTTTTTCCTTGCTCAACATAATTCTCTGGAGATTTGTCAAAGCTGTTTTATCAATAGTTTCTTTTTTATTGCTGAGTAGTATTCCATGGTATGGGTGTTACCAGCTTAACCATTCATCTATCGAAGGACAGACATGTGGTTGTCTCCAGTTTATGGTTGTTACATTAAAGCTTCTAAAACATTCAGGAACATATTTTTATGTGAACGTAAGTCTTCATTTTTCTGGGACAAATAACCAGGAGTACAATTGCTGGGTTGTATGGAGGCCTAAAGATTTTGACAAAAAGGCTGTTGAGTGTGAAGGTGCCCGCCTTCCCCATACAAAGGAAGAAGTAAAATCTTCTTTGGGGTCATTTATCTGGGTGCCTCGGGCAATCAGGAAAGTGAGAGGTTACTTATGGAAGAGCTCACAGGACCAAGCGCTTGGAAGGGCTCAGGTGGATGCCCTGGCATTTACCAAGGTAAGTAATAAGAACCATTCCACAAGTAGAGCTAAAGACACTGATGTGTGAAATAACCCCAGAAAGTGAACTCGTGTGTTTCAAGATTTACAGAGGGGAGTCTGTTCCCCCGTAAATGGACGTGAAAGCTAAGCACACTGAAGCTGCTTTTAAAGGTGAGGAATGCAGAAGGGAGAGAGATGTGATACAGTTTGACTCTCCTGGGAGGGGCTGCTTTTAGGAGCATACAATGCTATAGAGAGGCAGTTATTCTACAGTCAGAGGCTGTTCAAAGAGGTTGGCTACTCCATCCAGAACGTATCTGGAGCTGGACAGCCTGGGTTTGAAACCCACTACAGCTACTTACTTAACTGTGTGACTTATGTGCCCCCAAAATACCAATTACTGCCCTCCCAAGGTTGGGCACAGCTCTGGGGAGACCAGTCTTCCACTGTACCGAAGATGGCTGGCACAGAACACTGATTTCTGGTAACACACCAGCTTCTAACACTGGGGTGGCCTCTAGTGGGGAGTAAAGACCTTCAGGAAAGAAAAAAGAGAACTGCTTCTCGGCATAAGGAAAACCACAAGAACAGTCAGTAGTGGGAATAGGCAAGCCCCAGAAAGCCCTGTTTGTTCACCACGGCCTGGTTCCTTAGGGACAGTGTCCAATGACTGTCTCAGAGGCCGACTTGCTGGGATTATTAAAAGCAGGACTCTGGTGGTCAGGTCTTAGAAGGCTGGTGCGGTCCAGCACTGAAAGCTCCTGACCCCACACCCAAGAGACCTCGTGAGGACGGAGTCACCCCACCTTTGAGATGAGGCAGTCATCTAGATCTCAGTTACAAGAGTGTTTGTCTCAATCCAAACAACAAAACAATGAGATTTTAGTGGAAGCTGAGTCACAGACTTGATAGAAAGTTCTAGTTAATATTTTCTTTTATGTTTTTCTTTCATGTTAATCGTAGGTCAATCTGCACAACTTTAGATAGTATTCTTGATGGCTAAGAACTAGTGAAAAAAGCATGTTCCATTTTAACATGTACTGTAACTTTAAATTGGTCTTCTATATTCAATTTCGCCAACTATATATAATGCATTGATTTTTCATTCTGAAAGTCACTGGGAAAGGCAAGACTAAGTGCTACATTCCTGGTTTAAATGAACTGACCACATATGCCTACATAGCAATTTTAACCAGAGATCAGAACACCAGACACTCCAGCAAAATGCAAGGAACATATGGCATATCTGGAGAGATACACTGTTAAACCTACTGCATACATTTTCTAATGTTAAAGAAAAGTACTAAAACTGAGAATGATATATAGTAAATGAAACCCCAAATCTGGATTCTGTATACCTCACTTGGTTAATTCTTACCCCTTTAAAAGGATAGTTATTTTAAAACATAATATAACCTCAAAAAAAGCATAAAACAAAAACCTCCAAGGAAGTCTTTAAATCCTAATTGCTAGCACTTTTAAATACTGTTCTTAAAATTGAAGCACTGCACAGATATTAGGCAAGGAAAAAAGCCATATCAATAAGGAATCTAGCTGTGAGCAAGTAAGAATTTCAACAGCAAGTTAAATACTTCCCAAAACATTAATATATTTTTTCAGTCTGCTTACCTTCAGCAGCTATATTTCTCTAATAGAGTTGTCTTAATTTCCGAGGCTCAGAGGCTAATAAGTAATGCCAATACTCTTGTAAGTGGCGGAGTGGGCTTCAAATTTAGTCTCTAATATTTCCAATATGCCATGCAGCCTCTATACAGTTATCAAGACAATTAGGAGAAAATGGTTCATACAAAGTTGTGTTGCTTGTTTACAACTGTCTGCAAAAATTCCTGCCAGACCATGTCTGTAGATGGCAAGAAATGGGTCTGATCTGTGTATCCTGGCAGATTCCATGGTGCCTGGCACACTGTTTCTTGAAATCCAGGCACAGGAAAATCCAATAATTCTCTGCTGAATGTACACTCAATTGAGTTCACTGTTAATAGGATTTTCAAGTAACATTTTTTTAATGACTAGTTCTACAGTCACTGTAAATTTTTAAAGAAAACACGAAAAAGGAGAAGAAAATAAGTTCCCCATAACCTTACCAAATAGAAATAACTATTATTAATATTTCAGTGTTATGGTCTCTAGCATTTTTTCTCTATATTTATATACTTAATTCATACTATATATACTAATGTTAAACTCTTTTATTTACTATATTGTGAACTTCCTTCCATGTTACCAGTCTTCTATTATAATTTTTAATGGTTCTAGTCTATTGTATGTACCATAATTTTCTTATTGAATAACTGAGCACATTAAAAGTTTTCCCTGTATTTTTCCTATTATTACAGGATTCAAATCCATTGACATTTTAAGCCAATCAAAATGAGAATTTTAAAATAATATTTTTGGTCAAAATTTGAGTACCATAATGGGTTCTTAGGCAACATATTTTAAAGATGTGACACAAATGGATCTGACTATATAATGTACGGCTGTGGAACCAGTCCCATT